GCATGATAAATCGATACATGCCAGTATGTGAAGTTGTGTATTAATTGCTTATATATATATATATATATATATATATATATATGTATATAGATATACATGATATATATATATATCATATGATATATATATATCATATGAATATATATATATATATATATATATATATATATATATTCATATGCATAAGATATATTATACATACATGTGTTATGTATGTATGGAATATGTATGTGTGCATATGGGCATATTTGTTCTGCCCATCCAAGCCTTTAGATTCAGATTTCAATGTAACCCCACCATTAGATTTCCCTCATCAAGATTTTCCTTGGCTTTTAAAGCAGCCAACTTATCATCAGATTTTGGTCTTCACCCACAGTTTTTGAAGTGGTGACCGAACACCTTACAATGTCCACAACAGCGAGGTTTCCATTGATAAGAAACAAGAATGATAGTGATTGGAAACCCTCCCCACTTAGCTTTAACACCATCTGGCTCCCTACTAGCATACACTTCAACCAAAACTCTAGCATATGAAACTTTCCAGGATTTATTCAAGCATCTTTCCTTAGTGACTTATCAAGCATAATCGGTTTACCTACACCACTAGCCAAGTAACTAATACCCTCACGGTTCCAAAGTTCAAAAGGAATCCCATGAAGGCTAATTCAAAGAGGAACTTTACTAGGTTCGAGTTTAGACCAAAATAACTCCGGAGACCATTCTCTAACAAACAAAGGCACCCCATTAACAAGCCAAGTGCCATTTTCAAGAACTTTCCTCATACCCTCCTCAACTTTTGAATTTGAAAAGCCAAATACCATTCACCAAAGATAAATCATCCAATTCAAAATTTCTCCATATTCTTCAAAGATTATACGCTACCTCCCTAAAAGGTAAACTTATACCCACAAAATAACCATACAAATGAAAAGCATATTTCGAACATCCTCTCTTAACAACTTCATCAGGAATATCAACTAGAAAGCTTCCATCCGGTAAAAGAGAGAGGGAGGTAAAAATCTCACAATAACATCCTCATCCAAATTTTGCTCCTTAATTTTATCAACAATATTACCCTTATCTTTAATCCAAGCATTTCCAACTTTAAACTTATCCTTCTTGTTAATAGTAGGATCCGTTTAATCCAAGCACTTTCCAACTTTAAACTTATCCTTCTTGTTAATAGTAGGATCCGAAGGCACAGATTTCACCTCATGATGAGAAGGAATAGAAGAGTCCACATCCATAGGAATCACATTCTTAGCTTGAGAGATCTTGGACCAACTCATTGGTAAGAGCATTATCAATTTTACCAACTAATTCACGCTTAGCCAAATTAAACAGAACTTTATTACTTGGACCACAAGAAGATGAATTTAAGGATTGGGCTTTCTTCATTTTCACCTTAGCAATAGCATTATTCAAATTGAACACTTTCACTTCTTTCGGACTTAGTTTCAAACAAGATTTTCTGAAATGCAATTTCCCACCAAGAACATTTGAACTTTCAAAACCAGTCTTGGAAAGAGGGACATCAAAATCCATATTTTGGGCAGCCTCCAAAACACTAGCCGTTCCAGAATCAAACATTATCCTTGGGAATTGAGACATTTCCCCAACCAAATTCATCGAAAGAGGGTACAATGACTTCAACATTAGGAGCAGAATAAACACAAGGACCAGAAACCACCACATTAACATCAGCTTTTGAGTCAGACAACTTTTCATCCTCATTAATACCATAATCCACCAAACCTTCGGCCATCAAAGAGAAATTGCCATTAGCATTTACAGCAGCCACAGTGACATTAGAACTATCAACTCCAACATCTTCATTAACCACAGATTCAGAAACCTCATCCACTTTGCAGACATCAGAAACATCATTCTGAACACTAGAGATATCTCCTTCAATTTTTTGAACTAGATTTTTGACAACTCCATCAGCAACAACATCCAGATTACCAGAAGGATTCAATTCGCCATCATCAAGGTTTGAATTCAAAATAGGACCAACACAAGAAAGAAACCCCACAATCAATTGAATCAGAATTAGTAGTACAATTTAAAATAGGGGTAACAGGATGAACATCACCTATTCTTGAAATCCGCAAAACCTGAAGATGATCTCCTTCGTTCTAATCTGTTCTGATACCATTTTAACTTTCTTTTGAAGGCTTCAATTGTTTCCACATGATCAGGATTATCACCAAGAGAAACAATCCTAAACTTTATCCTATTGTAGACTTCATATTTTTTTTAATAATACCCAAATGAACAGGGGAAATTCGATTCAATTCACCAGACGAAGAAGAAACATCAGAATCAAAATGCTCAAGTTGCTCAGAAAGATTAAGATCACGAACAGATCCAAAATCAGAAAAAGAGGCACAATCATTTTTATCATAACCCAAATCACTTGTCTCAATCAGATCAGCAGTCTCAGATAAACCAGGATTAACAATGGCAGAAGGTCCAATAACAGGTCCAGTAGGGACAGATTCCTGATCAGAAGGATTCTAGGAGTTTCAGAAGAAATAACCTCAATAGAAGAAGATAAGCCAGATTCCACTATGTTACCTTGTTCTTGAACAACACCAACTTCACCACTCTGATCCATAATAGTGTCGTGAATCTTCAAATCAACAGCCACCTTCAGAGCATCCTCATCCATAGAAGTTCCAATGATCGAATCAGATTCAGCAACACCCAAAAAATCCTCATCCATAGCTTTTGATTTAACCAGAACCACTCAGAGGAGCGAATTTCAGACCAGGGGTGCTACTCTTCACAACCAAAGGAGAGGTCCAAGCATTCTCATCAGATTTGGCTTAAGGATTTCCTATGAAATCCAGGTTTAGAACTCCTTCCCATGACCACAGGATCGAAAAAAGAAGAAAACAAGCAAAGTTCAAATTTCAGGCAAAAACCAAAAATCGAATCAAAACATAGAACATGGATAGAAATCAAAGAAAGAGGAGAAATAGGATGCACAAGGGATCCTAAAGCACAACTCCAGAATCAGAAACGGGCAGAAAAAGACATCAGACACAGAAGACGATTGCAGAAAGAAAAAATTAAAAAACCCACCCAAAAATGGGAAAAACGAAAAAATCTCACCCCCTACATGATTGGAAAGTGTAAAGGAACAATCAAAGTGTAAGAATCGAAGATCAAACAACCAGAAAAAACGAAAAAAAATGAGAGAAATTTCTAGAGAGAGAGGGCCTTTCATCATTTTCAGGTTTGCTTCTTGATGCAATGGAATGTATATTTTCTTTAGTGGCTGACCTACAGAATGTTCATTTCAATCTTACAAATCTATACTAATCACAAAATATTCAACCATATCTCCACATAGTACATGTTGATTTAAAGGTAACACCTTTGAAATCCAATCTAACAAGTAATTTTCCAGAAAGGAACAGAAAGAGATACAATTATGAAAAATGCAAGCATACGAACCATCCCTGCAAAACAAATGCAGAAAAAGCTATATGATCATACAATTGTGCAATAGAACTGTTAAGGCTTCCGTAGTGAGGAATTATGATCCATAAAACAGAAAGATTAAGATCTCCAGATAAAAGCAACAAGCATATTTAAAAACTCGTAATGTGTAAGACAATTTTTGTTAAGATAATCTTCATCTGAAAATAAAGAGTTATAGCATTGATTACAGCATATTTGGGGGAGTAAGGAGTTATCAAGAGATTCATAGAGGTGTGAAGCAGCTCACTATTTTTGGAAACAATATTAGATGTTCAATGCAAACATCAATAAGAAATCATCCAACCAAAAAATGTATGTGATTCAAATATGACTAATCCTTGCATTCTTCAAAGGTTATCTACTTTCTTATGTCACAGAAGTATGCCACCATAATCCATAGGTTCCCCTCTGTTATCCACCTCATAATAACACAATGTCATCTCTGTTATAACTCGGAATGTAATAACCAAATCTACAAGATATCAGGTGTACCAATCAAGAGCTTCATCATCTTCTTCCTCATCGTCACTATCTGATAAGTAATCACTTGCATCCATTACATCCTCTTCATCTTCATCTTCATCTTCAACTTCATCTTCATCTTCCCCTTCGGAAAACACTGAAATCTTGGACTGATAAAAGTCACTCTTTTCCCCCAACAGTTCATCTAAATTGGATACACAAACACCAGCATTAAGATCATTCACAAATTCACCACTTGTACTTCTGGGCACCAAATCCTCCTCCGTGATTTCCCCATTCTCAACCCTATTCCATGGAACCCACAAATCTGCTTGCCTCCCTAATGCTCTGTCCCAATCACCCACAACCACCGTTCCCAAATTCGAAGCTCTGGCTTTTCTCAACATCTCGGAGAAATCTGAATCATCGGAAACCAACACCAACCAATCAATTCCTCTACTCATGGAGTGCTGCATTTGCCTCTTTAATGCCCAATCCGCCGCCTGGGGCTTATCCTCCACCGTCTTAACAAAAATCCCTGCCCTTCTGAGCTCCGCAGCCAATCCATATCCGACTTTGGGGGTAACTAGGGTTCTAGCAGCCTCGGCATACTTATGATTCCCAGAGATAAACCTCTCTTTGAAACGCTGTCGTTTCTTCCCTTTCAAAGACTTCATCCTGTTCATCTTCTTCTCCCTTTCTCTGACGTGCAACTGTTTGAAGTGTTTCTTTAGGTCTAAATTTGTTTTACATTTGCGGCCACAGACACCGCAAATATATGGTTCGGAAGGGGTAGCAACTCCCTTACGCTCAAGAATCTCGACACGGCGTTGATCACGGCGTTGCTCGAGGACCCAGTGTGGAAGGTGGATGAAGGCGTGTCGGTTAGCATAGGCGGAGGCTTCAACGACTTGGCCGAAATGATTGGCAATGTTCTTGAGAGCCATGGCGGCATCGTAAGGAGGGCCGCGCGGAGGCTTGTTGTCAAGGTCCCACAAGATTACCACCTTTTTGGGTTTGGCGATGAAAAATCCTTGTTTGGTCGGAACCATGTCGATTTCGGACATGGAAGCGGGGTGATCGGACGACATAAATGAGCAGCGACATCTGCGGAAGGTGGTGGTGGTGGTGGTGGTGAAATTGAAGGAAGAGGGTGGAAGTTGATGAGAAGACGGGGGGTTGAGAGTGAGAGAGATGGATTTGCAGAGTAAATTCATTTGAAGAATTGTTGTTCATGTGGTGTGGATAAGGGTTTTGTTTTCTGTTACAAGAAATAAGGAAATACATTATCGAAGTATTCTGACGTGAAGTATTTTAATTGTTTGGATAAAAAGTTTATATCGATTTGAAATAAGAAGTAACTATTTTAAATTATAATAAATTAATAAATATTATTATAAAAAATATAAGTTGTTTTAAATAAACAATTTATCCCTCTCTGATTATTAAAAAAAATATGGTTAACAGTTAACTATGTCCATTCGAATCGATTATATATTGTCACGGGAACAATGAATTTAACAATTATTTAATTCTACATTTTTTTATACTAATTATCTTTTTCTTTCTTTTTTTTCAATCAAGATTTTTTTTATTTAGGGGTTATTTACCTAGATGTTTATCTGATAAGTATTTATTGTTATAAGTCAACATTATAATTTATTTTATCTGATAAGATTGTAGTACATCAAATGGTATTGTATTCAACAATTCATTCGGTAAGCGTTTATCCGGGTAAGAATTATCATTTTTACTTACCGAGTAAGACTTTTCATCTTTATCATTGTTTTTACCGGGTAAGATTTTTGATCATTGACATGTTCATCCTGTAAAGAAAATTACTCAATAAACACTTACCGGGTAAGCATTTAGTAAACGGCCCCTAAGGAGCCGTTTACCTAGATGTTTACCTAGATGTTTACCCGGTAAGTGCTTACCGTTATGAATCAACACTGTAATTTATTTTACCTGATAAAATTGTTGTACATGAAAATGGTATTGTATTCAACAATTTACCCGGTAAGCGCTTACCCGGGTAAAAGTCATTACCCTCACTTACCGAATAAGACTTTTTATCTTTATCATTGCTCTTGTCGGATAAGATCTGTGACCCTTACCATATTCATCCGGTAAGGATAATTACCTAATAAGCACTTACCAGATAAGCGTTTAGTAAACGACCACTTATTCTCATATGAATTTAAGATTTTTCAGATTTAAATTAAATACAATGTTTTTTATTTTCTCATATAACTTATTTTTTAATCCCATGTTTCATGTCTATTAAGAACAATATCAGATTTACCTTTTCCTCTTTCAATGTTTTCACTTTTGTGGAGTTTAAAATAAATTTAATATTTCTGAATAATTACAACCTTAAATAAATTTAAATTTCTATGTTTTTTCTTTTTCAATCAATTATTTTATGACAATATCAAATTTATTTATTTCTTCTACTTTCTAATATTTTTGTTCTTACTTTTAGGAATGAGAATGAAACTCGTTCCATTGTAGAACCTCGTGTGCTCGTCCTGACAGAGAAGGGGATTCCCAACGAAATCGGGGATCCAAGATGGAGACAGACATCCCCAGAAGTTAAAAATCAGGGATCGGAACGGGCTCGGGTAAAGAATGACTTCTCACTTCACATAATATTTGGATTGAAAACCCATAAATATATTACCAAAAACCCATTAAATAATTTCTAATTTGAAGGTAACAAAGAAGAAACTAACGTGCGATCTTAGAAAATGAAGAGAGTGTAACTCAAATCCCAAACCTCACTGCAATATTCATATCCAAATTTATGAGCAACTGTAAACCAGATAATTGATCAAAAATGGTTCAATATACCACAGACTCAACTTTCCCCTGTTACCCAATTATTTTTCATAGTGATACTTTAACATCACTCTACTGCCAACCAGAAACTCTATCAGTTTAAACGAATGTCGGCATAGCTTTTCAGTCGGTCCTGAACCATCTTTAATTGTTCACAAATCTAAACGATCTTATCTACCATTAACTGAACAATTTCTCATTCCAACTAACTGTTTTACTTTGAAAATTCTTCCGGAGCATAAAAGTGAGTCTGATGTCTTGATCTGAAGTTATCAATTACGATACACGTACGGAGTTACTGTTTCATCGATACACAAATTTACTAACCTTTCTATCGAACGCATTTCTTTAGTCGGTAAGAAATGAATAGATTAGATAGTCGATCTACAATACCCCATATAACCTCGAGACCTTTTGACGTTCTCGATAACTTTGTGACAAAATCAAGGTAATATAGTCTCATTTCTAAACTGGATCATCTAGAGATTGCAGTTTACCGTAGATTCCGTGATGCTCCGCCTTAACGTATAACAAATCAAATCTTGTCCACATACCATGTGATATCTTTTACATACTCGGTTAATACTAAATTTGTCAAAGGTCTCTGTACATCATATTAGTATCCGAATGAATGAAATATCAGGACTCATGAGCTTCTTTCATTACTCTTTTGTGGAATCTCCAAAATTTTCATTCCATAACATATTAACCTATGATTGTTTTTCACTAAAACAGATATCTTACTATACTTTGCACCTTTCTAAACCAGGGTTTTCTCAAAACTTCATCATTCAAACTCATAAAATGCCTTTTTAAAACCTTTACAACATCCAAATTCATGAATTAACATAAATGGGGTTCAAAAACTTCATCAAAAGATTAAAACTCAACAAAAATAATACCAAACTTCAAAACAATTATAAACTTGCCAAAACGTTATTTATGCTTACACTACGTTTCCAAATGAACACGAAAGAAAACTGAAAGATCCAAACACAAGGAGTTACACGATCTAGCCTGTGACCCAAGTCATGAGACTCACTGGAGTCGACTATTTTTGATCTTGCCTGCAAAACTTGCAAAAACCTCAACTGGGTTTTACTCTAAACATCACCATCAATGTGAAAATATTTGAACAAGCTTCATAAAACATCTTTTTGGAACCGAGCATGAGAAATAAACCAATAAAATGATCAAATAAATGGGTTGAATCCATTTTACCAATACCCGGAGCAGACCAAAGACAAAAATATCTAATTGACAATGGATAAAACTGTAACTTAAATTTCAAAATGATTTACAACTTTAACCTAGAGATTTGACTATTTTGAAGGAACTTAAAAATCAATCCCAAAAAATCAAATTTCTTCATAAAATCCCAACATAAACTCAACTCAAACCCAAAAACTACTCAAACTTCACACACTAAAGAATAAAGAAAGGATTCATACTTGGTATTAAACCCAAAACCAAACTTGCAAATGAAATCTTTTAGTAAACTTCAATAATTTGATTTTCTGACACAATCTATCCTAAAAATTGAGCTTGTCGTAACCCAAAACTCATAATCGAACAGTTTAGCGGAAAAAAAAATTCTTATTTCAAATATTCTAACACCAATTAGAGATAATTAACATGCTCCTTTTTTGAGTAAGAATAAATAAGAATACCATCGATGAAACAATTACAAACTTAACAAAATACTGATTAAGTACTTGATTCACCATAACTTTAATGGTTGTCGGTGCTCTGGTCAACTCGAACGACATCACTCAAACTCATAATTCACATACTTGGTACAGAATGAAGTTTTTGGTACATCTTCCTAAACTTTAAGTTGATGATAACCCGATCGTAAATAAATTTTCAAAAAATAACTAACCCCCAAATAATTGATGAAAAAGATTGTTGATTTTCGGAAGCGGATACTTGTTCCTCAAAATTAGTTTATCAAGTTCTCGATAATTAATACACACACTTATCGACCCGTCTTTCTTCTTTACAATCAAAATTAGTGCACCCCACGAAGACGTATCGTAGCTAATAAAACTTTTATAGAATAAAATTTTCAATTGAGACATCATCTCTTTCATTTCAGACATAACTAATCCATATGGTCCATGAATTACAAGTCCATTATTTGGTATCAAATAAATTATGAATTCAATCAGTTTGCCCTGAGAAATACTGATCAAGTCATCTGAAAAGACCTCTGGGAAATTATTGACTATCGGTAAACTCGTAATTTTTCCCTTTTCTTTTTATGCAATAATCACATATGCTAAGAAACTTTAAGACCCTTTTTTTACATATTTTCAAGCCTTTAACATAGAAGTTAAACTGGTCTGTTGGTTTCCATGACAACCATATATCACAACTGGCCACTAACCGGTTAAATCAATAGAATTATCTTCTTATCACAAATAATATTAGCATGATTTGGCGAATCCATCCCACCTATAATATCAAATTATTTCATAGCATTAGAGAACGACTGAAACAATACTATATACCCATCCACCTGTATATAACCGTCAACAAATACCTCATTAACCAAAATCTGATTACCATTGGCAGTTTCAAATACTAAAGCATAATCTAAAGACACAGGCTTTACATGAGAATACCCGATAACAAGGGAGTAACATTAGAATCATTTGTACCAGAATTAAATAACACTTTGATACATACTAAGTTTACCAAAGTGTACCTGTCACCACATCCGTTATCCCCTCAGTCTTTATCATACTCGTCAAAAACATTCACAAATCCATGATTATGACAATCGTCAAATCTAGCAAACTTTGCTCTTCTAAATTCATTTGGCAATCTGACCCATTTTCTTTTCCCACCGACTCTTTCACTCAATTGGCAATTCTTTTCTTATTATGTCATTTTTGTGGCATGAACTGCAGACTGAAATGTAACTGGACTTGCAACTATAATCAGATGTCCAAAAAATCATAACCATAAGGTGTTCGAGTACAAGCATGCACCTGTAAACTCATAAATACATCGACCATATGTAATTTGAATTTACCTTACGCATCCTTTTTTCAACCCAATATATTTAGTATCCCGCGGTTTCTAAAAACATCAAGGACATCTTAATATTCAATAAAACATCTAGTTTAAGTCTAGGTATCAAATCGATTACCTAAATCTCTTAAACTTGGTCTTTGTTACTATAATAATGAATGAAATATTCATTTTCGAATATTATAAGCGGAATCTGATGTAAAGATCAAGGGGGAGTAACTTCAAATTTGGCAAAAGACTCAAAAGGAGTGCGACTAGAGATGTTTACGAAGATTATTCCGAGGCTAAAAAGACTGAGAGACGTTGAATGTGAAGATCCATTTTACAACAGTTTACTGAAGATCGTTTCT